CAAACTAATGGACCCACCAAGTATGAGGCATGAAACCTCCTTTGGTCTCCCCACTGCCTGTGAGTGCTTCGTTATTCTGCTCCATGGTCCTCAGACTGGCTACGCAGTATAGCCACCCATGGGACTTATTAAGACCAAAGCTTCAGGTTGGGGTGGTGGTGGTGGTGGTGTGTGCTTTCGCAAACTCCTTGGTGCAAACCTCAGGATGAGAGACCCTGGATTAAACCAGAATTAAAACACTCTGTAGAAGCCATGGGTCCTGGATTCAGATTCTGATGTCAGCCCTCCATAATTGTGGAATGAACACTAGTTATAAGTTGTGTGAGTGTTGATCCTGGATAACAATTCTCGAGGACTGTGATGGCAACCCTATGGCACGTGTCCCGCAGCAGGCTGTTTTTATCAATGAAAGCTCTGAAAAGTTCATCATCCAGTGCTCTAGGAGTTACAACTTTGTGTTATGGTTCAGAGAAGTTAACTAAGTCCACCAAGATCAACCAGCAAGTTTCTGAAAGCCTTGAGTTTGGGAGCCAGGTCTGTCTAACCACTGTAGCCCAAAATGACAGCACTTGACATCCACCAGATGCTCCCTGATCAGGGCACTCATTGTTGAGTTCATGGCATTTTTTTTTTTCAGTACTGGCAATTGAACTCAAGACTTTTACATTGCACTACATACTAGCCTGTTTTTTAATTGTTCATTTTGAGATAGCATGTGTAATGGTTGATACGTTTTGTCAACTTGAGAAGTTCAGAAATTTAACTAAGTGACTCAGCAGGGAGCCAGGGTCTTCACTTCCTAAATCCTCATCCTGTGCAAAAGGAGGGTGTGGAGATGGTATGAGTGCCACACCTGCCCCAGTGGGTGGTAGCCTGCCTACCATATAAGAGAGGAAAAGAGGCTTGCTCCCTCCTTTTGTTCTTGTTGATTTGCACTCTGCTACTGCATTGAACTGTTGCCATCTGCCATATGCCATTCTGCCTTGGAGCCAGCTGATTACGAACTGAAACTTCCACAAACTGTGAGCTAAATAAACCTTTCCTTCCTTAATTTGGGGTGTTGGGTATTTTGTCTCAGCAATAAGAGAAAAGTAACCAAGACAGTCTGGCGAAGTTGAGCTGCCCAGGCTGAGCTCGAACTTGCCACACTCCTGACTCAGGGCTGGGATTACAGGCATGTGCCACCATACCTGGACCATAGTATTTTTTAAGTGCCCCCTTCCTACCTGAGACCTAGCATTGAGCTGACAGGCAGGACAGAGGGGAGGCCCTAAACCACAAGTGAGCAGTCCCTTGGCCTGAGGGGATTTTGCTCTCCTGGGGGAGCTCCCTGCTCATCTCACATTTTGTGTCCAAGCCTCTAACTAGAGCCATCTCCCTTAACTCCCACCCTCCCTCCATTCTCTGCTTCAACCTCTTCTGTCCCAGCTTCTGCTCCTACCCCTCTGTCAAAGCCAGCAACTTCCCCAGTGCTGATATTGTGGGTTCCACTGAGGACCTCTGCAGGGACTGCCTGTAACATACTTTCCTGAATTTCATTCCCCTTTCACTTTCTGCCATGCCACATACCAAAGAAAGGGACTTACCCTGGCCCAGCCCATGGCCTGCATGTCCTCCTCCCCTTTTCTGCCCCAAATAGACCTAAACTGTCAAGTTTTCTTCCCCAGCTGTCATCCCCTGTGAAATTCTACTTCTCTTTCCTTCCCAGGAGGCCCTCGCTTTATCTTGATCTCCAGGTCACCCCCCATCCCTCTAAACCCACCACTTTGGCTCAGGTAGTGAGGTTTTCTGGGATATACTCACCTGACCTCCCCACATCCAGGCCACTTCCACCCTCTCAGGTGTGTCTATCACTGCTGCACCATGCAGTAGCTTCCTGGCGTTCCTCAGTATCTACATCCATGTTTCCTACTGGACTGGGAGCACCATCCAGGCATCTCCCTGGTACTCAGCAGGTTTGAGATGTCTCTAGTTGCCATAGGGCTGATTATGTACCAGACTGCACTCAACTTAATTCATTTAATACAGCTATTCAGCATCTTCCTTATTTTAAAAATGAGGAGCATGAGATGCTTAAAGCTCAAAAGACTGGCCCACCATCCCACATTTCCTACATGGAAGAAGTGGAATTTGAACCAGTGTAAGTCAGAGTTTACTAAAGGAAAGGATATAACACAAGATATACAAATGTACAAGAAATTACAAGTTTGGCTTACAATGGTCAGCCACAGAGTTGGATGAGGAAGTGTGCAGAGGGCGTCTGCATGCTGGAGATTGAGGAGCTCAGGCCCGGGCCTGGAGTTCACTGCATTGTCTGTGCAAGTCCGTATCAGGAGGCTGATGGGTCTGCAATGGCATGCTGAAGAATCTACGATGAACGCCAGAAAGGTACACCAGAAGGCTGAAGAGTCCCAGGCGGAAGCCGAACAGTCTGCACCAGAAGCCAGGAGATGACCAAGCTGAAGGCGAATACTGAAGCTCCTCTGAAGAGTCAGCAGCCAGCCCTTTCTCAATTCCTTTTTTTTTTTTAATGCAGCCTACCTGCCCTGGGGGCATGGGGGTGGTCCTCTACACCCACACCCGCTGCATGCCTTCCTCTTGCACAGGCTCAGGATGAATACAAAGTAAGCACCCTGGCTCCCCGCTGAGTCACTTAGTCAGACCTCTGGACTCCCCAAGTTGACACAATGTATCAACCATAACAATCCAACCCTCATCAACTTGGCAATCACACACGTTTCTTTAAACCAATTTCCAGATACAAAGACATGCTGATAATTACACTAACATGTTATACCTATCCTATGTACAAACGTAAACACACTAATTCCTTCACCAAAATAGAAGGTAAGCTTTCCTTGGGTGATGCTTATTCTTACCATTTTATAACTTGAGCATTATAACATATAATGATGCTCATTCTTACCATTTTATAACTTGAGCATTATAATAGTTTAACAATCCTTAAAGACCAATATTAAGTCTATCAACCTTATATTACATTAGAACCATATTAGGGGAGAAATAGTACAATTACAATCCTCTTTTCTGTAGGTGATCATTGGGTCATAGATGGCATTTAGAACTATCTTCTTCCACTACCCATTCTGTATTCCCTTGGCCTTCAGCAAGCACCTCAGCAGGTCTTGGTTCTTTCCTTGGTGGAGTGAACCATACCTTCATTCCTGAAGGCTCTGGGCCATTTGTCATTGTGACTATATTAGGTTGTTGTAGCTTCCCATTGATTTTAATAACAGGGCATGGTAATACTAAGAGACACCCTAAGGAATCTCCTGCACCCCACATATATTCTTCCTTTCCCTATTGTGGAGTAGTAGTCCAATTTCTGCTTGGTAATCTGGGTCAGTCCTGACAACACTGTGACTCCCTTTTCAGCTTGTTTCCTCAGAGGCAAGAGACCAAAATGACCAGGGGGAAATCTTAGCTTCCAGTTCAGTGGCATCATTGTTGTGCTTCCTGGTGCAAGCCTTCTCTCCTCAAATTAAGACTTCTAAGCCAGCAGAACATAAGGTTGTAGGGACAGGAAGCAAAAATTTTGCTAATGGGTCACTAGGAGTAATGGTGAGTGGTACCATCCCTACTTCCACCCCTTGATTCCTGGACCCATGAATCCTGGCTATGGGAGACACAGTACCATATAGTGGGCACTGATTCAAAGCATACACAGCCTTTTGAAGTACCTTACCCCAGCCCTGCAAGCTATTGCCACCTAGATGGCACTTTAACTGTGCCTTCAAAAGACCATTCCACCTTTCTATCAATCCAGCCGCTTCTGGTTGGTAAGGAACATGATAAGACCAGTGAATACCATGAGCATGAGCCCATTGCTTTACTTCTTTGGCTACAAAATGTGTTCCTTTGTTAGAGGCAATGCTACGTGGAATTCCATAATGGTGGATAAGGCATTCTCAAAGTCCATGGATGGTAGTTTTGGCAGAAGCAGTACGTGCAGTAAAGGTAAATCCATATGCAGAATACATGTCTATGCCAGTGAGGACAAAACACAGTCCCTTCCATGATGGAAGTGGTCCAATATAATCAACCTACCACCAGGTTGCAGGTTGATCACCACAGGGAATGGTGCCATATCAGGGACTCAGCGTTGGCCTCTGCTCCTCCAAAGAACCAGCAGCCAGTCTTTTCTCAATTCCCTTTTTTTATGCAGCCTACCTGCCCTGGGGGCATGGGGATGGTCCTCTACACCCACACCCTCTGCATGCCTTCCTCTTGCACAGGCAGGCTCAGGATGAATACAAAGTATAGCAACCTGGCTCCCTGCTGAGCCACTTAGCCAAAACTCTAGACTCCCCAGGTTGACACAATGTATCAACCATAACAACAAGGCGACCTACCTCTCCATTCCTGGTATACATGCAAGACATGAGACAGAGGGGGAAGAGTGTCCTCTGTCAAGGGTCATAGCTCTCACTGGGCTGGAGCAAGCATACATGTGCATACACACTCACACACACATACAAAATAGGGTAGTATGGACTAGTGCTTCTCAGACTTTAACATGCATACGAGTCACTTGGGGATTCATTAACCTGTATTTGGATTCAGTCTGTACAAGATGAGACATGAGACTGTGTCTCACACATCAACAAAGGATACTGATCCTTTGGTTCAGGGACTATACTCTGAATAGCAAGGATGAACCCTAAAGATTGAAGGAGAGCAGAGGAAGGAGACTGTGGTATATGCTGAGAGGTCTTGGGACAACCAGTGGGATCTGGAAAAACACAAAGTTTGATTAGAAAGAAGGGAGCAAAGGACTCACCCTCCCTAGGGATACCCAGGGGTCCCACAAAGCTGCCTCATCCCCCCCCCACACACACACACACTTACCAAGAAGCTGCACTAAGCAGGAGCTCCACATATGAACAGCCCGATTTTGAGAAATGCCCAATCTTGATCATTTCAGGAAATATTTTGCAAATTCAGAAGTCAGAGCCAAAGGGAAGTCCTTTTGGTTCACTACGAACCACAGCAGTGAAGTGGGAATGAGTGGTTCCCCTTCGGGAACAATTTTGCTGGCTCCAGGGCTTCGGCCACCTATAAAGCTTAGCAATGGAAAGTAATGTAACCCTCAAAGAGGAAGAGTTCTTGGGGAGCACTGAAGGAGCAACTTTCGACCAAACCATGATGCCAGTAATGGAGAGCTTCGAAATCAATGGTAACTACCACTCTCCAGTAAGAGAACTGCCTGGTAACTCAGTCTTCATGCTGGTGAGATATAGGAAGGGATAAGCCGCGGTTTGCACCAATGCTGCATTTTGTACCTGTCTCTCACTAATACGTGTCTGGAAGGCATCAACCTGGCATTTCTGAAATGTTAATTTTAGGTGCTGTATCTTTAACATATAGTTTAAAAAAAATTTGCCATTCCTGTAAATTCTATTTAAAGGATAATTTGGATAAATGCCAATGTGTATTCTATGTCCTCTACCCACTGAGTGTCTTACCCTGCCATGTTACTTGCTAAACTGACAGTTCAAATCTGAGGGGTTAAGAGAGTCCTGCAGTACCAAAGCCAAGTGCCACATATGTTTTTTATGCAATTAATATAAAATTCTTTAGAGTGACTTCTGTTGTAGCTGATGTGTTAATGTAGGAATGTTTCAGGTTGGCCAGGATATGTTTTTAGCTGTAGAATTAGTTTGTCTTAGATTGAGCAGAGGTTTTAAAAATTCAGTCAACCTGCTGTCTTATTTTCTTGCTCAGTGTTACATAGGTAATAGATTTTTTAACAATCTTGTGGAATTTGTCACATTTAAAGACAAAGGTAGGCTTGCTTCCCAAGTGATCTCTGACTTTCTATTCTAGAGAATTCTCTTAGAATTTTCTTCCAAGGTGACTGCCCCACTCCCAGGCCTTTCTGGAAGTTGTATATGTGGGAACAATGATACCCCTGCCCACTGGCTTGGATATCTCTTTCATGAAAGGGTCCGAGATGCTGCCTGATGTATTTTACAGTGTAATGACAATGAAAGATATGTGTATGAAGATTTGTGACCATTATTGGCTATTCAGAACTTTTCACAGTGCAGAGTTCTATATATATAGTATGTAACTTTTAAAGGTACTGAAAACAGTCTAGAAAATTCAGCTAATTAAATGTATGCATGACATACCCCTTGCTGGGTGCCACACTTAGCACCAAAGAAAGAGACAGGAGAATCACGGCTACTGGCCTCCAGGAGCCCACACTTGGTGGTGGTGGCACAACATTGTCCATAAGCTGACCTTTGCTGTTTGTCACTAGCTATGACTGACATTTTCATGGGACATCATGGCAGGACCTGGTGTCTGAGTGGGAGGTCAGAACTGACGCCTCTTTCAAAGTTTATAGGATAAAAAGGGGTTAAATTAGAGGAAGGAGAGAGTACCTGGGGCCAGGTGGGCACCACATTTCTAAACTACATCAAAAGGGATATTTCAAGAAATATGAATAGCTCCCTCATATTGGATGAAAATTGGAAGGGGTCACTCCCTAGGAACAAGAATGGGAACTTAATCCTGTAGACAATGGGAAGGCTGCAGAGGGGTGAAGTGGGGCTGCACATCGTAGATGGCATCTGAGGTTGTTCACTGAAGCAGATGGGGACAGAGAGGATGGTGGCAGCAAGAGGTGATGAGGCACAGTGGCTGTAAAGAAGGGAGAGAGAATGCACTAGAGAAATATCAGAAGTTAGATCAGCAGGATTGGGTTGGAGGGAAGCAAGGGCAGGGAGGGAGGTGCAGGACTGAAGGGCAAATCCCAGATTTCTGACTTGGGTTAGAACTAAGATTCCAGCAAAAATAAAGGTAAAAAAGCCTCATACAACTCCAACAGAGATGGAACACTTTCTTAATGCATTGACAACTTCCTACCTTTCAATACAGAAATCATGGAACATGTGGAATTTTGTAGATGCACGACATTATGAACAGCAATCACTGTGAGGCTCAGGGACACAGTGACCCCCTCAGGGCATGCTGTGAGGAATAAAACCACTGGCTTCAGCACTGAGTAGCTCCAGGAGTCTTTGCCTATTCTATTTTGTCTGCTAAAGAGTCTCTCTCTCTCTCCCTCTCTCCCTCTTTCCCTCTGTCCCTCTCTCCCTCCTTCACTCCCTCCCTTCCTTTCCCTTCCCTCCACCTTCCCCTCCTCCTCTCCTTCTCCTTCTATCTTTTTTACTTTTGCTTTCCTTCTTTTTTTCTTTCTTTTCCTTCTTTCTTCCCTCCTTCCCTCCTTTTCCTTCTTTCTCTTTCTGCCACATATAGTTTCATTTTCTTCTGAAAAATCACTATATTAACCCTTTCACCTGCAGTGCACAAAAACATCACTGAAAAGCATTTACAGTGTTCTCATTTATTTTTCTCTATTGTTGCTGATGCTGAAATATAAAATGCTGCTTTTTCCTGCTTGATAATATATGAAATCTTTTTTTAACTATGCAAAGACATCAGAGAAATATTTTAGCTATATACTGCCAAAACTTTTAAAAGCAAGCTTGAGAAACTTTTGGAATATAGCCATATTATATAATATTAATCTAAACGTGGTGAAGAATATAAATTTCTTGGACAACCTATGAGCAAAATATACCCTGTCCCCTCCCCTGTCACCAGCCTTCTCACCTTGCCTGTATTACCTGGTCACTAGCAGCAAGATCCCTGCCTTCCAGTATCTGCTAGGCCATCAAGATCCTCTGTCTTGTTCTTCTCTCTCTCTGTCTCTCTCTTTCTCTTTCTGTCTGTCTGTCTGTCTCTTTCTCTCTCTGTCTCTTTCTCTCTCTCTCTGGTACCAGGAATCCAACTCAGGACCTTGTGCTTGCCACTGAGCTAGAACCCCAGCTCTCTCTCTCTGTCTCTCTGTCTCTCTGTCTCTCTCTCTCTCTCTCTCTCTCTCTACCAGTTTTTGAGGTGTGACTGACATAAAAATTATAGACATTCACAGTGTAGATGTGATGATTTGATGTATGCATAATTGTGAGATGGCTGCACACACACTGCTTGGGTTTTCTGAAGGAACTTGATCATTTTTTTTCTTCTACTTATGGTCTGACAGACTCCCAGTTTCTTCCTGCCTCCCTCCTCAACCGCAAGGCACGTAAGCTTGACCAAGTGCCTCCTTCCAAGTTGTCCCCGTTGAGGACATCTTCCTGGGATGCACTTGCTTCTGCCTTTTGGGAACTTAGGAATGCCTGTGTGGCTCAGGGTTTCCTGTCACACTCGGGCGTGTCTGATTTCTCAAGGACTTCCTTTTGCCCCTTTGCCCTTCTTGTAACATCTGCTCATCAACCCTGCTAGACCTCTTACTCCAGCTTCTCAACTCTTTCAGCCTTCATGTCTTTCTTTAGGATATTTTCCCACCAATTTCAGTCTGAAGAACATTTTCTTGATAGAGAAAACTCAAATTGTGAATACAGAAGTACAGGTTTTCATTGCTTATTATAATTAATATTAACCACTTGCACCCAGCAGTGAGCTTAGCTGTCCTTTCTTCCTGCTCTAAAGTTAACCAAACATAACAAAATTTTAAACATCCCCCAAATACTCTGCAGCCTTCTCCTCCACCCACATTCCGGTTCTGCTGATGCTGTTACTTTTATCTCAGGGAGCCATTCTGCCTTGTTCTTTGCTGTGTCAGTATTTCTCAACATCCTCCATCTGGCTTTATTTACTATAGAGTTAAAAAAAACTTTTTATCTTGAAAAAATTACATGGATTCACAGAAAGCTGCAAAGAATGAAGATCTTTGTGACCTTTCACCCAGTTCCCCTCAACATTAGTGTCTTGTGAGCCTCAGTAAAATATCACAACCTGGAAGTGGATACTGGCATGATCCACAGAGCATATCCCTTAGCTTCACATGCACTTGTGAGTGTGTGTGTGTGTGTTTGTGTGTGTGTGTGTGTGTGTGTAGTTCCATGCAACTCTCTGCTTTACAGCCACATATATCCCTCAATCACCAACAAATAATCATTAACTTCCGGCAACTGCTAATAAATTCCCTAGCTCTATGATTTTGCTATTTTAGGGGTGTTTTATAAAGGAATTGCACAGTATATATTTTAAATGATTGAAATTTTTCCCTCAGAGAATAATTCAATCGATGCCTATTTTCGTTGTTGGTTCTTCTTATTAATGAGTAGCATTCTGTGATATAAAGGTACTACAGTTTGTGTAACCACTCACCTATTGAAGAGCATTTGGCATGTTTCCACTTTGTGAATATTATAAATAAAGCTGCTAGGACTACTTCTGAAAGTTTTTGTGTGAACATAAATTTCCATTTCTCTAGGATAAGTGTTCAAAACTGAAACTGCCAGATTCTAAGTGGATGCTTAGTTTTACATGAAGCAGACTATGTAACTTCCAGGGTGACTAAGCCATTTTACATTCCCACCAGTGATGTGAAATTGACCCAGTTTCTCCACAACTTTGCCAGCATGAGGCATTCTTTTGAAGAACTGGTCTGTTTCCATTTCCTTTAAATTGTTAGTAATTATATATTTCTCTCTCTCTTCCCCCCTCCCCAGGAATTGACCCCAAAGCATTCACACTGAGTACATGCCCAGACCTCATTTTGTTTTTTTTAATTTTGAGACAGGGTTCTCAATTACTAAGTTCCCCAAGCTGGGCTTAAACTTGTGATCCTCCTGCCTCAACTTCCCAGAGTGCTGGGACTGCAGGCATCCACTACCACATCCAACCCATATATATATATATATATATATATATATATATATTTTTTTTTTTTTTTTTTTTTTTTTTTTGAGACAGGGTCTCCCTATGCAGTTCAGGCTGGCTTTGAGCTCACTTTGTAGCCCAGGCTCGTCTCGAACTTGCAACGATGCTTTTGCTTCAACCTACCAAGTGCTGGGATTATAGGCGTGCACCACCACACCCAGCTACATATTTTTTTAATGGCTGCAAAATCCATAGTAAAATTCCTCCCCATCCAGTCCCCACTTTTTTGCAGTGCTTGGGATGGAACCGAGTCCTGTAAATATTAGCAAGTGCTGTACCACTGAGTTGCACCCCAATATCCATTTCATTTTTTATACTAACGGTTTGAGTCTTCTTTTTAAAAAAAATTTTCATCACTTTTTCTATAGGTTTTTCAATTTTATTGTTTTTTTTTTTTCAAAGAAATAGCTTGTGTTTCATTGATTTTCTCTTTTGTCT